CTGAGGGATACCGCACTATACATATCTGATGTTAGAGAAGCTTCCATTGAAGAATCCTCTCTGAAATCTATTGGATAAGGAACTCTCCAGCCATGTGATGGCAGGTGATATAAAGCCATAACAAGTGAGTTTTTTTCAATAACTAATTAGGATCAATAACATCAAAGGCTGCACTGAAATCTAACAATACAGCTCCAACTATCATCTTATTATCCATTTATTTTAACCAATTATCAGTCATCTGAGTCAGTGCAGTACAAGTTGAGTGCCCTTTTCTAGTTGTATGCTGAAAGTCAGTAGTTAACTTGTTCTTTAAAAATAGCATTGTATTTGTTCAAACACAATTATCTCCATCAGTTTATTAAGAACAGGCAGCAAACTGATTGGACGGCTGTTATAGCCAGCAAAAGGGTGCTTTACTATTTTTAGGTAGTGGAATTACTTTAGCTTCCTTCCACGCCTGTGGACATACACTCTTTTAGGCTTTGGTTAAAGACATGCCAAATAGGGGTGGCAATACAGTCTGCTACAATTCTCAATAGCTTCCCATCTAGGTTGTAGGTAGCCTGGTGGGTAGGAGCGTTGACCAACAAACCGAAAGGTTGCTGGATTGAATCCCTGAGCTGACAAGGTAAAAATCTGTTGTTCTGCCCCTGAGCAAGGCAGTTAACCCACTGTTCCACGGGTGCCGTGGATGTCGATTAAGGTAGCCCTCTGCACCTCTCTGATTCAGAGCGGTTGGGTTAAATTCGGAAGACACATTTCAGTTCAATGCATTCAGTTGTACAACTGACTAGGTATCCCCCTCTCTGTGACTTATCATTATTGATGGATAACATCTGTTTTTCCACCTCTTCCAGACACACTTGATCAAATTCAAAACGGCAATCCTTCTCTTTAATTACTAGATCTTCAGTATACAAATTTGATGGTTCACTGTACAATGTTATCATTTCACTACTGAGTTTTTCCACTTTATTGGTAAAATAGTCATTGAAATGATTGGCTATATCAAAAGGTTTTGTTAGAAAATACCCATCAACTTCAATGAACAACAGATATGAATTGGGTTTTCTGCCCATAATATCATTTAAGGTGCTCCAAAGTCTTTTCCCATGTTTTTTATGTCATTTATCTTGTACTGGTAATATAATTTATTCTTCATTTAAACGTTTAGTCATAAAATATCTCAATTGACAGTATGCCAACCAATCAGCTGAGCAGCCAGACTTGTTTGCCACCTTTTTTTGCATTATTTATTTGAATCATACAATTTTTCAATTCATCATCGATCCTGGGGGCTCTAACAGTTTTCACAGTCAGTTTGTCAACAATGGGCAAGAATACATTTTACAAATACTCCAAGTGTTGCATCTGGATTCTCCTCCTTATACACATCAGACCAACATACATTTTTTATATCTTCAACAAAAGAGTCTTGAGAAAACATTTTGTATGATCACTTATAAATAACTCTAGGCCCTGCCTTTGGTACTTTGGCTTTCCTTGATATTGCCACAATATAATGGTGGCTACAGTCAATAGGAACTGATATTGCTTTAGAGCAAAGCTCTGCAGAATTGGTGAAGATATTATCAATACAAGTGGATGTCACAGATATACCACTATTGGTATACACTCTAGTTGGTTGAGTGATAAACTGGGTCATGTTACAGGCATTAGTCAAGGTAAGAAGCTTCTTCTTGAGAGGAGAACTAAATGATAACCAGTCAATGTTCAGGTCACTAAGAAAATACATTTCTCTGTTAGCATCAGAGAACTTATCTAACATCATACAAATATTCTTCAGATACTGACAGTTTGCATTTGGTGGCCTATAGCAGCACCCTAAAAGAAGAGGCTTCAGATGAGGAAGGTGAACCTGCAACCACAGCACTTCTACTACATTTGTCATGAGATCCTCTCTGAGCTTTACAGGAATCAGGTTCTGAATATATACAGCAACACCTCCCCTGTAGACATTCATGGCTTTTCTATAGATGTTATATCCTTGGATTCCTACTGCTGTGTCTTCAAAGATGCTGTCTAAGTGAGTTTCAGAAATGGCTAATATACAGTATTAATATTATCTAATATTAACAAATTACTAATCTCATTAACTTTGTTTCTGGGGCTACATACAAGTATATTTATATCAGCTAACTTTAACTATACTGAACAAAAGTATAAATGCAACATGTAAAGTGTTGGTCCCATGTTTCATGAGCTGAAAGAAAATATCTCAGACATTTTCCATATACACAAAAATCTTTATTTTGTGCACAAACTTGTTTAGATCCCTGTTTGTGAGCATTTCTCCTTTTTCCAAGATAATCCATCCACCTGACAGGTGTGGCATATCAAGAAGCTGATTAAACACATGATCATCATTACACAGGTGCACCTTGTGCTAGGGACAATAAAAAGCCACTCTAAAATGTGCTGTTTTGTCACACAAAACAATGCAACAGATGTCTCAAGTTTTGAGGGAGCGTGCAATTGGCATGCTGACTGCATGAATGTCCACCAGAGCTGTTGCCAGAGAATTGAATGTTAATTCCTCTACCAACATCGTTTTAGAGAATTTGGCAGCATGTCCACCCGGCCTCACAACCGCAGACCACATGTATGGCGTTGTGTGGTCGTCAATGTTGTGAACAGAGTGCCACATGGTGGCGGTGGGGTATGGTATGGGCAGGCATAAGCTATGGACAACGAACACAATTGTATTTTATATATGGCAATTTGAATGCACAGAAATACCTTGACAAGATCCTGAGGCCCATTGTCTTGCCATTCATCCGCCGCCATCAACTTATGTTTCAGCATGATAATGCACGGCCCCGTGTCCCAAGGATCTGTACACAATACCTGGAAGCTGAAAATGTCCCAGTTCTTCCGTGGCCTGCATACTCACCAGACATGCCACCCAGTGAGCATGTTTGGGATGCCCAGGATCGACGTGTACGACAGCGTGTTCCAGTTCCCACCAATATCCAGCAACTTCGTACAACCATTGAAGAGGAGTGGGAAAACATTCCACAGGCCACAATAAACAGCCTGATCAACTCTATGTGAATGAGATGTATTCTAAAGAATCTGTGACCAACAAAATATGTAGCTGTATTCCCAGTCATGTGAAATCCATAGATTAGGGCCTAATGAATTTATTTCAATTGACTGATTTCCTTTTATAATATAATATATAATATGAACTGTAACACAGTAAAGTCTTTGAAATTGTTGCATGTTGGATTTATATTTTTGTTCAGTATATTTCCTGGGTAGCTTATATAAAACTGAACTCATAATAGGTTGTATTTCTAATAATTATATTTCTGATAATAACAAGGAAGGAATTAATGGCTAATTTTTTTCAGATTGTGTTCAGCGGATGCCATATCTGGTTTAGTTTGGCTGCAGCAGGGTGCTCTATTCTTCGTGTCACTTCTGCATACAGTGCCTTCAGAAAGTATTCACACCCCATGACTTTTCCCCAAAAAAATTGTGTTACAGCCTGAATTTTAAATTGATTAAATTTAGGTTTTTTGTCACTGGCCTACACACAATACCCCATAATGTCAAAGTGGAATTATGTTTTTTTTTACTTTCTTGAGTCAATAAGTATTCAACCCCTTTGTTATGGGAAGCCTAAATAAGTTGTGCTTAACAAGTCACATACTAAGTTGCATGGGCTCACTCTGTGTGCAATTACAATTATCTGTAAGGTCCCTCAGTCGAGTAGTAAATTTCAAACACAGATTCGACCACAAAGGCCAGGGAGGTTTTCCAATACCTCACAAAGAAGGGCACCTACAGTATTGGTAAAAATAAAATAAAAAGCAGACATTGAATATACCTTTGAGCATGGTGAAGTTATTAATTACACTTTGGATAGAGTATGAATACACCCAGTCACTACAAAGATACAGGCGTCCTTCCTAACTCAGTTTCCAGAGAGGAAGGAAACCACTCAGGGATTTCACCATGAGGCCAATGGTGACTTTAAAATGGTTTCAGAGTTTAATGGCTGTGATAGGAGAAAACTGAGGATGGAACAAAAACATTGTAGTTATGCCACAATATTAACCTAATTGACAGAGTGAAATGAAAGAAGCCTATACAGAATACAAATATTCCAAAACATGCATCCTGTTTGCAACCAGGCACTAAAGTAATACTGCAAAAAAAATGGCAAAGCAATTAACTTTTTGTCCTGATTACAAAGTGTTGTGTTTGAGGCAAATCCAACACAACACATTACTGAGTACCACTCTCCATATTTTCAAGCATAGTGGTGGCTGCATCATGTTATGGGTATGCTTGTAATCGTTAAGAATTGAGGAATTTTTCAGGATAAAAGAGAACTGGAATCCTAGAGGAAAACCTGGTTCAGTCTGCTTTCCACCAGACACTGGGAGGACAATAACCTAAAACAAGGCCAAGGAATGTTGTTGAGTGGCCGAGTAACAGTTTTGACTTAAATCTTGAAAAACTATGGCAAGACATGAAAATGATTGGTTGTTGATCATTGCTAGACAATTTAACAAAGCTTGAAGAATTTTGAAAATAATAATGGGCAAATATTGTACAATCCAGGTGTGGAAAGCGCTTAGAGACTTATCCAGAAAGTCTCACAGCTGTAATCGTTGTCAAAAGGTGCTTCTGTCAAGTATTGACTCAGAGGTGTGAATACTTATGTAAATTAGATATTTATGTATTTCATTTTCATTTACATGTTTTCACTTTGTCATTATGGGGTATCGTGTGTAGATGGGTGAGAGAAAAATAAATATTTTAATAAATTTTGAATTCAGGCTGTAACACAACAAAATGTGGAGTAAGTCAAGGGTATGAATACTTTCTGAAGGCACTGTAGCTGTCTTGCTGGACTGTTGGTCTCTTCTGATTGGGTTGTTGTCCTGTTAGCATGGGGGGTAGTGGGGTGGGGGGGTGCTGTCTACTCTGGAAGGGGCCCGATATTGCAGGGTGGAGCTAGCCTATCTGGATGGGCCGAGGTCAACCTGGCCTCTCTGGAAGGTGCCCGATGGTGCAGGGTGGAGCTGGCCTTTCTGGATGGGGCCTGGTGGTGTGGGGTGGAGCTGGCCTCTCTGGAAGGGAACCAATGGTGTAGGATGGAGATGTCCTCTCTGGAAGGGGCCCGATGGTGCAGGGTGGAGCTAAACTCTCTGGATGGGGCATGGTGGTGTGGGGTCAAGCTGGCTTCTCTGGAAGGGGCCCGATGGTGCAGGGTTGTGTTGGTCGCACTGGATGGGGCCTGATGTAGGGTGGAGCTGGCCTCTCTGGATGGGGCCTGTTGGTGCAGGGTAGAGCTGACCTTTCTGGATGTGGCCCGGTGGTGTAGGGCGGTGCTTGTCTCTCTGGGTGGGGGCTGGTGGTCGTGATCTTGGAGGATATATGTTGGTTTTTGCTTTGTCCCAGAGCAGGTTCTTTCAGTTTCCTAGCAAACACCTTGACACCCTGTTTGTTCAAGTGTACTAGCTCATACATCAGCTGGGTGTGAATGTCATGGTGGTTCACTAGGTAAACATTGTCCAAAAGAGCACAGCCTCTAGGCCACTCAGCGTTGTTGCGCTAAATAATAATCTCCACGTGGCAACAGGGTGGACATAGTGATTTTGGTGATAGGAAATCTCTCTTCAGCTTGTTGCTTTGCATGAGCTACATGTCCTCTTATTGCCATCAAATCATTAGTACCTGTGTGAATTATTTTATGTTTGGCCCCATTTAATTTGTTGCTTGACAGACATTGCAAGGCACTTGCTGTTGTTGGGCACCATAGCTTTCTGACTGACATGCCAGGGCATAGCAGTTCCTCCCTGAGAAATGTCCAATAGGGTGCTCTGCCTGTGTGCTGCTGTTGTGGGCTGTGGTGTCTGGAGTGATGTACTTTGGATGGAGTGGGGTGGGGACCACAGGTGGCCTTTCATTGTCTTCCTCTCTCCTGAGGGTTCCAGCATGGCTTTGCTGGCGCTGGTGCTCTGGGACTGGGATGTGAGGATCTTGGGGAGGTCTGGTCAGACCTATCTGACAAGGCGAATGTGCTGGTGTGGGAAAATTAGTTTACATTTTTACATTTTAATCATTTAGCAGACGCTCTTATCCAGAGCGACTTACAGTTAGTGAGTGCATACATTTTCATACTGGCCCCCTGTGGGAAACGAACCCACCACCCTGGCGTTGCAAGTGCCATGCTCTACCAACTGAGCTATAGGGGACTACAGTTGTACTGGGTCTGGTTACTGACCTCTTGTGCTGAGTCTGTGTGAGTTCCGTAGGTTCACTATAAGAAGCAGTGGCATTGCCGATTAGGGGATGTGAGGGTGTGGTAGTGAGGGTTGTGGTAGGCTCCAGTTGTTCTCTTAGAGTGTGGATGGTGGTGTCTCTGTGTTGTAGAAATTCTATGACTGCTGACAACTCACTTTGTAGCTCCTCCCTAATGTCAGCTACTTCTCTTCTCATGATGCTCTCGACTGTTGCCAGTTTCTTTCTCAGCTCCTCCTTATCCTGCCTCAGAACTGTTACCTCACCACAAAGCTCATTCACCTCTACCTCCAGTAGGGAGATACTCCCAAAGGCCTAGGACAGCTGGGACAGGTTGTCACTCTGCTAGGGTGGCTTGTTGCATTAACGTCTGAGTGACCCATGTATGTTTTACTTTAGGTCGTATTTTTTAATTGAAAAGTCAATTTCTTCTGAAGCGGTCTTAACCCTAACCCTATGAGGGTGGGGGGACTTTTGGAATTAACTGATTTGTCAACAGGTTGGTCTTCTGATTTAAGTGTACCCTTACAAAATGAATTTGTTGCTGCAAACCTCCCGCAAGTTTGTGGCACATTTGCTGCAAACTAAAGATTGTATAAAGTTTGCCACTAGTGGTGAATCGGCGGAAAACCTTTGGCAACAATAATATTTATTGCCACTACCTGCAAATAATTCGACAGAGGGTTTTTTCTGGCAAGTAATTCTCTCAGGATTCAATTTGAATCTGTGACAACAAGTTCCAGGACCAGTAATCGTTGATGACCAATCAGGGGGATTAGAAACATCTGTTGAAAACTGGAACTAAGTTTAGCTAACTAGCTACCTACCAAAGTTGTCAGGTGAGTGTATAACTTATTAATTAAACCTCCTAATAAACTTTTACATTTCTTTAGCTAAATGATGCTTGGTTAGCAATGTCATGTTTTACGGGATAGAGTGAAACACATTTTCAATCTGTTTCAATCTGTCAGCGCCACTGACTGACTGGCTGTCACTTAGCTAGCTAACGTTAGCTATCATATTTTTGCACAATTCATGTGATAGGTAGCTTGCTAGCTAACTAATGATTTGCCTAAACATTTAGATTTTTAGGTGAATATTTTGCTGTCTTTTAATACCAATATGCATGTCAATATCATGTGTTGTTCCTTCTCTATTTCTAGAAGCAATCAGTTACAAGGCAAAAATACAGATTGAGGCCTTCAATCAAACTGAGGACATAGAAATGTGTGTTCACCAGACAGGTCAAGGCTTCTTGCATGCATGGCTTTGTGACGTAAGTTACACTCTAAAAAATGTTGGGTTGTTTGTTTGACCCAATTGCTGGGTTACAGGCATTGGATCAATAGTTGGGTTGTTTTCTTTAAATACAGCAAGGTTGGATTGTTGGTGCTAGGTTATTATGGCTGAGCTATGGATATTTGATCCAGCCAGTGTTTTAAATCTCCCGCCACCAGCGCATGAAGTCCACAAAAATACTTATAAGTATTCTAGTTCTACCTAGTGCGCCTGTGTGACTGACGAGTAGAAAACGGCTAACGTTATTTCAACAGACTAAGGGTGTTTTGGCTGACTGAAAACAATGAAAACGTTAAGAAACAAACGTTAAGCATTATGAATTTGATAGTCATTCAGGTTAAATAGTTTGTCATATAATAATTGGGTAGCTAGCTCTAGGGGGTTAATTTCCACTTCTATCTGTGTATTAATATCCACTTCAAAACGACTAGGCTTTTCCTGAACGTGGTGCCGTCGTCAAGGTCTATGCTCCACCATTGTGATCCCTGGAGCTGAATACATGTAAACATACACTATATATACACAACAGTATGTGGACATGCTTTCATATTAGTGGATTCGGCTATTTCAGCCACACCCGTTGCTGACAGGTGTATAAAATCGAGCACACTGCCATGCAATCTCCATAGAGAAACATTGGCAGTAGAATGGCCTTACTGAAGAGCTCAGTGACTTTCAACGTGGCACCGTCATAGGATGTCAGTTTGTCAAATGTCTGCCCTGCTAGAGCTGCCCCGGCCAACTGTAAGTGCTGTTATTGTGAAGTGGAAACGGGACTGCCTAGTGCTGAAGCGCATTGAGCGTAAAAATGGTCTGTCCTCGGTTGTAACACTCACTACCGAGTTCCAATCTGCCTCTGGAAGCAACATCAGCACAGTCAGCACAATAAATGTTAGTTGGGAGCTTCATGAAATGGGTTTCCATGGCCGAGCAGCCGCACACAAGCCTAAGATCACCATGCACAATGCCAAGCGTTGGCTGGAGTGGTGTAAAGCTCACCACCATTGGATTCTGGAGCAGTGGAAACGCGTTCTCTGGAGTGATGAATCATGCTTCACCATCTGGCAGTCCGATGGACGAATCTGGGTTTGGTGGATGCCAGGAGAACGCTACCTGCCCAAATGCATAGTGCCAACTGTAAAGTTTGGTGGAGGAGGAATAATGGTCTGGGGCTGTTAATCATGGTTCAGGCTAGGCCGCTTAGTTCCATTGAAGGGAAATCTTAACACTACAACATACAATAACCTTCTAGACAATTCTGTGCTTCCAACTTTGTGGCAACAGTTTAGGGGATGCCCTTTCCTGTTTCAGCATGACAATGCCCCCATGCAAAAAGCGAGGCCCATACAGAAATGGTTTGTCGAGATCGGTGTGGAAGAACTTGACTGGCCTGCACAGAGCCATGTCCTCAACCCCATCGAACACCTTTACGATGAATTGGAACGGCGACTGCGAGCCAGGCCTAATCACCCAACAACAGTGCCCGACCTCACTATTGCTCTTGTGGCTGAATGGAAGCTAGTGGAAAGCCTTCTCAGAAGAGTGGAGGCTGTTATAGCAGCAAAGGGGGGACCAACTCCATTTTAATGCCCATGATTTTGGAATAAGATGTTCGACGAGCAGGTGTACACATTCTTCTGGTCATGTAGTTTATCTCTGGCTGTGTAGTTAGCTAACTAGCTACCTTAGCTTAGTCTGACACTTCTTCTGGACTCTCTCTGACATTGTTTCACTCGTTAGCTAAGGTAGCTGGCTAAATAGCTAAGTTACCATAGCTAGATTTTACTTATTCTCCATCTGGGTTAATTTAACGAAGCTATTTGGCTTGTTTATCTCATGCTTGCATGGTGATTGATTGAGTTAGCTAGTGTTACTGCACTGGTTTTCAGTGCAGCTTTAGTCAGACTTGTGAATTTGAGGAGGATGAATGCAAATTCTGTTAGCTAGCTAACAGAGTTTAACTTAAATTTGATTTAGCCAAGTTAGTTTAGCTAGCTAGCTAGCTATGTTTTCAAAATGTCTTTATTTCTGTACTTAAATGCAGAGGACAAGGCCAATGAATGGACAGCTTTGTAAAGATACGCTGAATGAGTGGAAGCGAGCCTCTGATTCCAAAGTTTGAGGGTAAGTAAAACGGACAAATTCCATTTTGAGAGTGGTGACAGAGCTTTGGGGGGTGTTGTAACTAAATAATGATGTTAATTATGCTGTGAGAACAAGGAATCCGCTGACACTGTCCTCGATTATAATAGTTTTATTACATTGAAGATTTCAGCGCCAATTTACAGACTTCTGCAGACATCTGGAGAACAACCGGCCCAATCTCTGATATGTTGTTACTACCCGTCCTTTGTTTCAACCATGGTATTTATATCCTACGCCCTATGTAACATAATATGGGTGTTTTCCCATAAACCAATCCCAGGAGGCCACCTAACATACTTCCTCTAACACACCATTTGCAAACATCAACAAAGTCACAAACTGTTTAGACACTACATATTTCCCCCCTTCGAGACTAATTAAGTCTCGAAAACAAAAAGAATAGGATTATGACAAATAACAATTTTTCTTATTGAGTAACTTTAGCAATAAACCAAATGTTATGGAGAGTAAACACATTTTTCTATGGAGTGTAAATACAGTTCTATGAAATATGAACACATCTTTATGGAGTGTGAGAGCGAAAAACTTGTCTGGCAGCTTTCTTTCCAAATATCCATCAATCAATCAAGACAGTAAAATTCTCTCACGGCCCCTCTGCCCCAGGCAACCACCTAAGTACTCCAGATCAATTCATAAATCTTGATCAATGCATTTTAAACTATGATACAATTGAATACACCTGAAAGCCTCAGAAAACAAAATACAATCAAAAATGTCCATATTCAGGCTGGTCGACCCATCGGACCCTCCTGTGGATTCTCTCTGTCCCTGCCTAGACCCAATATCCCTAAGCATCCACGAAATAAACAACAACGTCTGAGATCCCCACATGTACCCAACAACAGCAAATATCATTCTTCAAAAATTAATACAGAAAGAATAGGACACAAATTATGTATTACACATGCAAATATGTCTATATATCATTGCAGACACTGGAATGTAGTCCACTACACTTCATCTCCTCAGCAGTGTCGACTTTCAATGAAACGTCGATGATGGAATCTGAACATTTCCACACCTTCCTTGTTCCACTTCCTCCAGTCCATTCATATTGTCCATGTTTGAGTATTTGAATCCCCTCTACACATTCCCCCATATGCTTCTGGAAGAAAAGAAAACACCAACCAGTATCTTTTGCAAAACAACACATGCAAATTAAAACATCAATATCAACAATAATATAAAAATGATGTATAAAATGAATCACATTCCATTTCCCCCCTTTGATTCATCACAAAATACTAACTATCACAATAATACGTAAAAACATGTGAAAAATTATCGGATATTCAAAATGGATATCTATCCATCAATACTCCATCCAGTCCCACTTGTTCATCTCCATCTAGATCAGTAACAGTTAACAACGCCATCGGAGTGTTTTCTCCAGGCATCACAACTCCAACCCATCTCAATATCATAGCCTTCGCAAAAGTCAATAACAAAGTACAAAAGCAAAACATCACACACAGCGCTATAAGAGCGGCCACTAAAATCTGAACTATCACTGCTCCCACTGGGCCTGATCTTGCAACCAAGCCTTCGCTGACCATCCAGCTCCTTCAGATCTACCAAACGCATCCCTTATATTCTTCAATGCATCTATAACACTAGTGATATTATCGGAACTATCGGAAATCAAAGTATAACAATCATCCCCCGTCAAGTTCATAGCCAAACATAAGCCACCTTGTTTTGCTAAAATATAGTCAAGAGCCATGTCATGTTTC